GGATTTGGGGGCTCTGGGTTGGGCTCAGGCACCGCCTGGCTGGGCTGAATGTTAAACCCAGCCCTAAATCTTAGTCTGGGCACTGAGCTCAGCCCTGGCCCTTGGTCAGGTGCTGCACGGGCTGGGAGGGGCGAGACAGAGCTGAGCCCTGGCCCCAGCTCCATCCCTGTCCTCATCCCCACCCCTATCCCTATCGTCATCCCTGTCTCAGTCCTATTCCCATCCCCATCCCATCCCTGTCTGCATCCTGGTCCTGTCCCTATCCCATTCCTGTCCCTATCCCATCCCTGTTCCAATCCCATTCCCATTCCCTTCCCTTCCCTGTCCTCTTCTCCATCCCCATCCCCATCTCAATCCTGTCCCCATCCCCACCCCTGCCACCATCCCTGTCTTGGTCCCTATCCCTGTCTCATCCCCATCCTACCCCCATCCCATCCCTGTCCTCATCCCATTCCCATCCTCTTCTCCATCCCTGTCACCATCTCCATCCTCATCCTTGTCTCTGTCCTCATCCTCATCCCTGTCCCCATCCTTGCCTTAGTTCCATCTCATCCCCATCCTGTTCGTGTTCCCATCCCCATCCCTGACACCATCCCTGTCCACATCCTGGTCCCTGTCTCTATCCCATATCACTGTCCTCATCCCTGTTCCTGTTCTCATCCCTATCCCCATCTCCATCCTGGTTCCTGTCCCTATCCTGTTCTTATCCCATCCCCATCCCTGTCACCACCCCTGTCCTGATCCCTGTCCCATCCCCATCCTCATCCCTGTCCCTGTCTTCATCCTCATCCCTGTCCCCATGCCTGCCTTGGTTCCATCTCATCCCCATTCCCCTTCCCATCCCTGTCCAAATCTCTGTGCTGATCCCTGTCCCCATCTCATCCCCATCCCCATCTCCATCCCTGTCCCCATCCTGTTTCCTGTCCTCATCTCATCCCCATCCCCTTTCCCCTCCCAACCCAAGCCCCACCCTTGTCCCCGTCCCTACCCGTCCCCATCCCATCCCATCCCATCCCAGGACTCATCCGGACCCCAGGACACGCAGCCCCGGCTCCCCCCCAGCTGCCCCCCACCCACCTGCCTCGTGCGGGGGGTTTGGCAGCGCCTTCATCCAGCGGAAACTTCTTTTATCTCCAAAAATTCCTCTGCGCTCCGACGGGGAAAACTCCGGCTGCTCCAGGCTGGGATCCTCCCTCCGCCGCCCACGGCTCGTACAAAGGCTCCTTCACCCGGGAAGGACAGAGCCACCTTTGTTATCCCGCTCCGACCGCGGCCGGGAGCAGCACCGGCTCCGCCATCCACCTCTCGGGAATCTCCAGGATCGGGAAAATCAGCGAACCGCGAGCACTGGGTGGTGGGAGATGTGGAGTGGGGGCATCGCTGCGTGTCCCAGATTTGCTCCCTCCCACCAATCCCAGCAGGATTTTAGTTATTATTTTGATTTAACCGAGCCAGGATTGTTTAGGATCCCACCGGAATAATGGGTGGGGTCGAAGGGATCCAAGGGATGCTGAGCCCCACAGCCCGGCCGTCCCTGCTGGAATCCTCACCGCGCTCATAAATCCTATTGTCTCTCCCGCCTCATGGATAATCCCGGCACGGCAGGGGCGAGACCTGCCCCTTCCCAGCGTGGGACTCCCGGGAATCTCGGTGGGTGGCCGGGGACAATCCCCACCTCCCGGCGCCCCACCCCCTGCCTCTCCTTACAAAGGGGGGATAAATAATCCCTTTATAAGGAGGGGATGGAGGAGCGGTTGGCCGAGATGCAGCAGGTTGGGATGCAGCAGGATGGCGATTTCCCCGGGATGTTCCCCAGCCCCCTGGGCGTCGCACTGGGAACCCACCCACCTGCACATCCCACAGCATCAACCCCGGGGCTGGATACAAACGCAGCCTCCGGATTTCCCTCTCAAATATTCCTTCAAATTTCTGCGTGAGCTGGGAAAGCTCAGCAGGACAGATCTCTCCCTCCCACCGGGATATTTGAAAAAGACAAGGTACTTGGGATATGGGGATCCTGATGTCACCCACAGCATCGATGGCAGCATGAGAGAGGATTTCATGGCTTTAATGGCAGGATAAAAGCTTTCCAGGAGCCTTCCTGTCCATATGGATACTCTCTCTCCCACATTTCCCAACACTGGCATCTTACAAACCCACCCCCAGGCCTCTGGAACCCACTGGAAGTGGGATGGGGGTCCCAATGCCAAGCCTTGGAGAGCTCAGGGACCAGGTTGTGAATGATGCCAGGAAATGCAGGGTGCAGCTTCCCAGGAGAGTGAGTGTCTTGGGATATGTTTGGCAGCACAAGGAGGAGGCTGGATACATGGAAGTGGCCGGAGGTGATGCCACGGCTCCATAAACCCCCTCAGAGTGTTTTATTCCCATTCTCTGCACCCCTGGCTGGGATCTGGGCACCGCAGAGCCGGCACAAGGCCGGCGGCTCTGGCACGGACCGGCCACTTCCTAGACATCTGGGACCATGCCAGGAAAGATTGAGGTTTAATCCTGTGCCAACAGCTGCCCCAGGCCCAGATCAGCCCTGGCACTGTCCCCCTTCCCTGACCTTCCCACCCTAATCCACCCCCTGTAACTGGACACCAATGGGTTGTTTTTCCAGTCTTGTGACACTGGGAAATGTCAGATCCCAACAGCCCCGGGGTGGGTGGGATGGGGTGACACCAAAGGGGTGGAGACACCTGGATTTGGGCACCGTTCTGGGATGGGGCACTGGGACCTGGCTCCTGCTCTGGCCACGCTCAGAGACAGAAAATGAGAGGCATAACTGAGCCTGAAAGTTTGGAAAGCAGCATTCCTGGGGGCTCAAACCACCCCCAGACTGCTGGGACGCTGTTTTACAGGAATTCAGCCCTTCCCAAGCTCCTGTTCCTAAGTGTGACTCCTCATAACTCTGACTCCTGATAATTTTGCCCCCTAAAAAGCATGAGCTGTATAAAATGAGGTTCCTAATAATTCTGACCCTTAGTAACTATGATCCCTAAAAAACATGGTCCTTAATAACCCTTACCCCTAATAACTGTGATCCCTGAAAAATGAGGTCCCTAATAATGGTGAACCCTAATTACCCTGACCCCTCATAACTGTGACCCCTAAAAAAAAAATCCCTAAAAAATGTGGTCCCTAATAACTGTGACCCCTAAAAAGCACGGTCCTTAAAAACTATGACCCTTAATAAACTGTGGTTCCTAATAACCATAACCACTAATAACCCTGATCCCTTAAAATCACAGTCTCTAATCACTGTGACCCTTAACAACCCCAAACCCTAATAACTGTGATCCCCAATAACTATCACCCCTAAAACCCATGGTCCTTCATAACTGTGACCCCTAGAAATGAGCCCTAAAAGACATGGTCCCTAATAATAGTGATCCCTAAAAACAGTGAGCCCTAAAACCCATGGTCCCTAACAACTAGGAGCCCTAATAACTGTGACCTCTAATAGCCCCAAAACCTAATAACTGTGATCTCTAAAAAATGTGGTCCCTAATAACCGTGGTCCCTAATAACTGTGACCCCTAAAAAAATGACCCCTAAAAAATGTGGTCCCTAATAACCCTGGCCCCCAAATTACTGTGACCCCTAAAGAATTGGGTCCCTCACAGCCATGACCCCCAATAATCCTGATCCCAAATAACTGTGACTCCCCATTCCTTTCCCCCCAGTTCCACTTGTTTCCCCTTGGGGCACATCCCCTGCAAACCCCATTTCCAGCAGGCCCTTTTCCATCTCCTGCTCCTGACTTTTCCCCTCAATATTTAATCTTCATCCATCCAACCTGGAGCATTTCCCAGCTTTTCTGGGCACAGAGAAGGAGCAAACCCCAACTGGGGAGATTCAACCCTCCCAGTTCCCTCTGGGTGCTCCCACAGGTGAATCCAGGTGAGCACCGGGGCACAGGCCCATTTTGGGGTGACTTCACACCTTGGATCAATTTGTCAGATCTTGAAATTATGCCCAGATTGGGGCAGGAATAATGGGATTATCCAGGGCCGGCTGTGGGATAGGGAAGCTCATTAAAGAGCATTAGAGAGGGGGAAATTGGGTTTTTTCAGGTTCTAGTTAAAACCTCAATTAACTTCCAGGTGCCTCGGAGGCTCATTTTGTGGCCATTAAGGGGGTTCTTTACAATTTGCTTCCCACCTTTGCTCTCCCTACGGACACAGAATAAATTTCCAGGATCCTGGAACAGCTGGGAATGTCCCTCAGGTGCTTCCAGGTTTGGGGAAACTGAGGCACAGCAGCCCCAACCCTCCATGGGGGAACACGTCCATGCCCCCCCACCCTCCAGAGCACCCACTCCCCTCTGGAGCCCTCAAATCCCCCAGAAAAGCAGGATGAGTCCCCTTGGAGGGCTTTTCCCCATGAAAACACCAGAGGGGAGGGGGAATCCATCCCAGTGGTGGGACTGGGGTGAGATTCCCTCCACAGTGAATAACCCAGGGTGACCTGGCTTCAGTTTTGGGGGGAAAAGGGGAGATTTTCCCTTTTTTTTTTTTTTTTTCCAGCCTCCCTCAGTTTTCCAGCACGGCAGGGACTAACACTGCCATCTACCGAGCCAGCCCTCGTGTTATTAATCCTCATATTTCTCTTCTCCCCACCCAAAAGCGCTTCCCACATCTCTGGGGACACACGAGGCCTCTCAAACCGACCCATCTCTCCCTGTGGAGTGAATCCCAGTGCCCATCTCTGCACAGACCCCCAGTGTCCCCCAGGATGATTTGGAGTGCCTTTTTGGGATCAGGATGGTTTTGGGGTGCCTTTCTGGGGTCGGGGCTCTGTGGCTCCCAGGCTGGGAGGGGGAGTGGAGAAGAGGCACAGGCAGAACACCCCCTGCCCCACCCTGTGCCCCTCATCAGGCCCAGATGAGCCCCACCTGAGCCTCGCTGGCCTCGGGGCTATTTAAGGCTCCTGGTTTTGGTCACTTTCCCCCATTTTGGGTGTCAGCTCGTGAGGTGCAGCATCGGTCCCTTCCCAGGATGGGGGAGCCCGGTGGAGCTGAGGAGGGGCTGGAGGGGGTCCCTGAGCCCTCAGAGGTCCCTCAGCCCTTGGAGATCTCGCAGCCCCTGGAGGTCCCTGATCCCTCAGAGGTCTCAGAGCCCTCGGGGGTCCCTCAGCCCTCAGAGGTCCCTCAGCCTTTGGAGATCTCGCAGCCCCTGGAGGACCCTGATCCTTCAGAGGTCCCTGATCCCTCAGGGGTCCCACTGCCCATGGGGGTCCCTCATCCCCCGGGGGTCCTCCAGCCCACGCCGCCCCCCGAGGTGCTGGAGGAGGTGCTGAGCCGGCAGTTCGGGCCCCTGCCCCGCTCTGCCCCCATCGCCCGCCTGCGCCGGGGGGCCCGGGGCGAGTACGAGCCCACCGGCGACCTGGCCGAGGTGCTGGAGCGGCGGCAGGCGGCCAACGCCAAGGAGAGAGAGAGGGTGAGGGACCCCAGGACCCCGCTGGCCCCCCCAGGATCGCACCCCGGGGGCTGGGGGCTGTGTCCCACCGTGGTGGGAGCCCCAGGGCTGCTCGAGCGGGGGGCACCGGCAGTGACCCCCCGGGGGTGTCAGCGAGGGGCTGGGGGGGATTTGCATTTGGGGAGGGGGGCGGGTTTGATCCTGAGGGACCCCAGTTACATTTTAGGAGGGCCCAGTTTGCTCCTGCAGGGGCCCTGGCTTAATCCTGGGGGGGCTCCGGTTAAATTTTAGGAGGGCTGAGTTTGGTTCTGAGGAACCCATCTTAATCCGGGGGGGGGGGTTGGAGGGCCGTTAAATTTTAGGAGGGTCTGGTTTCATCCTCGGGTGGTCAGTTCAATTTTAGGAGGACTCAGTTTAATCTGAGTGGCCCAGTTTGATCCTGGAGGGGTCGATGTAATCCCAGAAGGCTCAGTTTAGTTTGGGGGTGAGGGCAAAGGGGATTAGTTTAATGCTGGGGAGCCTGGTTTAATCCTGGAGGGGTCCCAGTTTATTTGTGTGGGGCCTGTTTTAATTCTAGGAGGGCACAGTTACATCCTGGGGAGACCCCAGTTTAATTCTGGTGAGCCCGGGTAAATCCAGGACCCAGTTTAATCCTGGGGGTGGGAAGCAGTTTAATTCTAAAAGGGCCCCAGTTAAATTCTGAGGTCCCAGTTTAATTTCAGGAGGGCCAGGTTGAATTCTGGTGAGCACAGTTTAATCCTGTAGAGGACCCAGTTTAATCTTGGGGATCCCAGATCAGCTCTAGGAGAGCCCAGTTTCACTCTGAAGGCAGCAGTGTAATCCCAGAGACCCCAGTTTAAATCTAGTAGAGCCCAGTTCAGTCATGGAAGGGGCAAGTTTAGTGTTGGGGTCCCAGTTTAATTCTAGGAGGCCCTAGTTTAATCCTGGCATTTAATTCTGGGAGGACCCAGTTTAATCCTGTGGGGAGGCATAGTTCAATCTTGGGGAACCCAGTTTAATTCTAGAAAGGCCCCAGTTTATTGCTGGGGACCCCAGTTTAATTCTAGAGGGATCAAGTGTAATTCTAGTGAACCCAGTTTAATCCTGTAAAGGCTACAGTTTAATCTTAAGGATTCCAGTTTAACTCTAGGAGGGCTCAGTTTAATCCTGAAGGGCCCCAGTTAAATCTTGGGGAGCCAAGTTTAATTCTGTGAGAGCCCCACTTTGATTCCAGAGAGTCCAGTTCGATCATGAAGTTTAATTCTGGTTTAATTCTTGGTTGAATTGTGGAGGGACCCCAATTTAGTTCTGGGGTGTCGGGTTCAACCCTGTTGAACCCGGTCAAATCCCGTGAGGGTCCCAGTTTAATCTTGGGCTTCAGAGCTTAACCCCGGGGGGTCCTGGCCTAACTCAGGGGTCCTGGTGCACCCCAGGGGTGACCCCTCGGTCTCTCACTGGGTCCCCCTTGGGGGTCCCTCTGTCCCCCAGATCCGGAACCTGAACAGCGGCTTCTCCCGGCTCCGGACATTGGTGCCGCTGGTGCCGCGGGACCGCAGGCCCAGCAAGGCCGACACGCTGCGGGCGGCGGCCCAGTACATCCAACTGCTGAGGGGAGTGCTCAGGGACTGCCAGGTGGGCACCCCAAAACTCACCCCAAATCCCCCAGTACATCAGCTGCTGAGGGGAGTGCTGAGGGACTGCCAGGTGGACCCCAAAACTGACCCCAAATCCCCCAGTACATCTGCCTACTCAGGGGAGTGCTCAGGGACTACCAGGTAGGCCCCAAAACTGACCCCAAACCCTCCAGTACATCCAACTGCTGAGGGACTGCCAGGTGGGCACCCCAAACTGACCCCAAACCCCCCAGTACATCCCAGTACTGATGGACTGCCAGGTGGGCCCCAAAACTGACTTTGTATCCCCGAACTCTCCCATAACATGGGCGTTTGGAGGGGCTGGTGAGGGTTTTCTTGGCATTTTTCAGCTTGGAATTAGTAACTCAGTTTATTTTTAAGTTGTTGGGGGGCACCCCCATCTCTGGGGACCCCAAAACTGACCCCTGACCTTCAGCCCATCCCTAAAATGTGGGGTTTGATGGGGGGGTTGATGGGGATTTGCTTCTTAATTATCAGGTTGGTATTAATTTAATATTTAAAAATAAATTGAGTCTTAACAAGTGGGACACCCCAAAACTGACCCCCAAGCCCCCTATAATGTGAGGTTTGGGGAGATGATGGGGATTTTCCTGCTTGAAGTTTTTGAGGTTGGAATTAAGTTAATAATTAAAATTAATTGAATTATTATTGGGAGGTGGGTTGTTGTTATTGGGGGAGATCTGCTGTTTTTCCAAGGGGGGAAATTTTAATATATTTTTAAATATTTTGATATATTTTTTTAACTCCCCTTTTCCCAGCAGCTCGATGCTGATGCTGAGCAGCAGTTGGGGGACACTGGGGGGGTCCCACCGGGGGGGCCACCTGAGACCCGGCCTGGCAGTGCCCCCCCATGCCCGTGGGGACCCTCTGTCCTGCCCCCCTGCCCTGGGGCACTGCAGGAGAGCAGGGGGACGGTGAGTGGGGGTACCCTGGGAGGGTGGGGGGACACCTGAGGGGGACAGAGCCCCTTGGGGGGCACCTGGGGGCATGGGCAGGGGGGCACCTGGTTTATACCGACATAAACAGGGGGGGCTTCAAAGCACCTTTTACCCCAAAATATTCCAAAGGTGCGAAAAAATCTTTTTCCTTTTTTCTTTTTTTTTTTTAAGGCTTTTCCTGCCATCCCCAAAATTCCGGGGGGGCCCGTGGGAGACCCCCCCTACGGCCACGTTCAAGGCTCCAGACCCCATTCCTGGGGTCGCACTCCTGTCCCAGAGCCCTGCACCCCATGAAACCAGCACCCCAAAAGTGGGGGTGCGGGGGGAGGGGTCCATCACCCCTAAAACGCGGGGGGTGAGGGGGGTAGAGCTGTAATTAATTGCTCTATGAAATTGTAATTAGTAATTAGCTGCCCCTCCCCCCCAGGTGAGGGCTGATTAATGATCATTAATATAAATCCCAATTAATTGCATAATAAAAGGATGTCGCGGGGTGCCGGCGCTGTTTTGGGGGCTTCCCCCCTTGTTTATTTGCAGTGATTGGGTTCTCGGGGGGGCCCGGGGGGAGGGCGGGGCGGGGGGAGGTGCGGGGACACGCGTGGTGTGTCGGGGGGGGGGG